GAGAAGCAAGAATGAGTGGAAAAATCAGGCATACAGAAAATTATTCAGTCCAGAAACCCTGGGCAGTTCCAGGTGTGCCTGTTTTCCATAGGATTAAGAGAATTCTCAACATTGTCTTGAAAAATCAAGAGAAGATCAATCATTACAAAGTACATCAAAATAGCAAGGTTATTTTCAGAATAACCTTCTTATATTTTTTTCCCCTCCAGCAAAAAAGATGATAAATCCTCTCACAGAAGGAAAACAGTTTTAGTATCCAAAAATGCTTTAGTGTTTTTCCACTTAGAACCATCTTCCTGTTTCATAAAAGAGCAGAGTATTACACCCGCCTCGCCTTTCCCGGACACTGGCAACTTGATCTGCAGGAAGAAGCATCTTCTCCCTTTAGGGAAATGGAGTGGTGGAGTATCCCTAGTTAGTGAATGAAGTCAGCTTTCAGAGGCAGAGAACCCCAGCTGTCCTTACTATGAGAGACGAGAAAGAAGTTCTTTAGCAGCAGCTTGAATTCTGCAAGCTGCACGAGGCTGCTCACAGCAAAGGAATTGCTATGCACCGTGCCATGATGTGGAAAGATCCATCCAGGGGCTGACTGCAACTGGGCAATGAAGAGGAGTGGCCTTCCATTCCTTTTTGTCTTCCTGAAGCAAATTAATGACTAATGATCTCCAGTAAATACTTGCACTGCAGTAGCACGTCATATCCTTGAATTTAGGGTTTATCAGATGGAAAGTCATCTTCCTGAAGTTGGATGCTTAAGCTGGGACAGATGCAAGGAGCCACGAAACTCAGACATTGTTTGTGCTTGGTTTCTAGGCACCAACTTTGTTTTGTAGATGGTTGCAGTTAAGGAAAGAAACAAGCTTGTTCTTTGCATTCACCATCTCACACAAAAAACCCTCTGCACCTAAAAGCTGGTAACAGCACAGTGTATTTGTACAAGTTAAAAATACTATTTCACTTCGGAAAAATAATACCCTTCTGAAGACTGCAGTTAGTTGAATAAGTGGTGTAATATGCTTGTAAAATCTTTCAGACCAATGCTACCCCTGGACAAAGTGTTTGCTATCAATACAGTGCTAAAATAGCATCACTGCAGAAGTTCAACAGCCTAGTTTTAAGAACTCAAGTGACATACTGGTTACTTTTCCAAGACAAGTAGAAGAAAAGTCTTCTTGTATCAATCAATGTGAAAATGTAATTTAATTCAGTGCAATAGTAATACCTTTTTCTCCTAGAACCTAAGATATTAGAAATTAAACTGAGTGTGCAATATTTACTTACTTGTACGATTTTACCTGGAAAGAGCACACTTCACATTTTTTGTTACATATAGTTCCTTTCTGTTCTGCTTTACTGCTTAGAAAAATGAGGCTCACAAAGCTTCATATTGGCAATAAAAATCTTACTCTAGTTCAGACTTCTTTTTGGTAACCAGCAGGTGGAGTCAATGCTCCATCAAAACAATCATTAGTGGTACTAAAGCAAGCTCCACAAAAGCTGTAACACAACACCAAAGGTCCTTAAACTTTAAAAAAGAAAACCAAAACCAAAATTAACCACTTTCCCCATCATCTACCTTCTCTAGAGAAGTAAAAGCATAGGACACTAATTCAAACAGTCTTCTGTCCTCCAAAAATATGGATTTCTTCATCAGCATCATCTTGCAGTCCCAGGAGCACCTAGACCCCCAGGTCTGGGATAGGGTATCTCACAAAGCAACCTAGATCTCTCTACCACAAATATAGGACCCTGTGCCTTTTCTTTGTCCTGCCCCATGCACCTCCCCACTGCATTTCCTGGTCTCTCTCACCACACATGTCCCCACAAGCAGCATTTAGTGACCAGCTCCAGAACAAATCTCAGTGCCTGTGGCATTGGCCGAGCTCCTGCTCCAAGGAGTGTTCAGCCAGTCAGAACAGTCATGACCACACAGAGCACTCACCTTGGAAGTGGGAGACCAGCAGCAGGGAGCTAGCAAAACAGGGCTGTTCTGCTGGGGAGGACACACTAGGATGCACAGGTCATCATGCCACAGCAACTTCACCACCACAGGGCACTCTGCCAAGCACCACAAGCAGAGCTAGTGGCAATAACATGTTCCAGCATCATCCCAGTGACCATCAGACACACAAAGCAAATCAACTCCCAGGGCAAACCATGAAATCTGGTAGTGGGGTGAAAGCTGGAGGCAGAAGAGGTTGATGAGGGTAATTAGTCTATTCGCATCTTCACAGTCTGCCAGCTGGCTGTCCTCAGGCTGGTTTGAGTCAAAGATTTAACACTGGTCTATGAAGCACAGTAGACACTTAGGTTTCCGAAATTCAGACTGCATTTCCTCAGCTAAAGGTTTCTACGTGTATTAAATATTTCTATCAGGCTTCTGTCTCTCTTGCCTCCTGACCTGTTTCTTGTGTTTACTTTTCCTGCAGCCGAGCATCCTGTGCACACCTCTCCCCAGCATGCAGCAAGGTCTGCCCGGTGACAACTATGCTGCCCTGTGTCCTGCCCGGCAGGGCTGCAGCTCTGATGTCTGTGAACCACGGTGGGAAGAGCTCTGCCATGGGACAGGGCAGCCCTGCAGGGCGCAAAGATCCAGTGTCTCTGTTGTTAAATAGGCCTTGGCTAAACAAGCTCAGCTCTCCAGCCTCATTGAGCTCCGATACTACTGAAAAAATGCAAACCCTCTGCCATTTTTTGACCTGAAAATAGACCTATTTTGATTGCTGCCTGAGCAAAGGGAGCTTTCACTGTGCCCATATTTGCACCATGTTTCACAAGTTGTGCTTGCTCTGCAGATTCTGCTTTTCTGGGGTGGCAAAGAAAACCTCTGGGGTGTGAAGAAAGTCACTTTGGATTTTCCATCTCCCTCCACATTGAAGGTTATTTTAGCAGGGACAGGAATATTTTGGAGATGCTTCCTTGCCAGCCATTTCCCTCATAGCAGTTTTATTTATGTATGTGTGTGTTGAGAGACACCCAGCTGTGTGTGCTGGGGGATTATCACATACCCCCAGAGCTGGCACAGCCCTCCGCATGCTGCCTGTGTCTGGCAGGGCTGCAGATGTGTCCCTGCCACTGGAGTGAGAGAAGTCTGGTTTGTGTCTGTAGATAAAAAAAGGTGGGAAGCTGCTGGTCCACTGGGCAGGCATTTGTTTCTGCAAGTGCTAAGATAAGGTCCTTACATCCTTTTCCATAGGTCCCAAATTTTCTCTGTGCATTTACTGGCTTCTCTGGTCACTCAGCTGCTGCCCACCAGTCCCCCATTTGCCAGCACTATTTATATCATAGCTCTAGGGTTTCAGAGGTGTTGGAAATGGAGCACCACGGTGCCATGGCATAGGGATGCTTCCGGAGCCCCAGAAATAGAGCCAGAGTGAGGGAGACAGTTGAAGGCAGCAAGTGCTCAGGGAATGCGTCTGAAGCAGCCCACGAGCTCCCAAACCTCAACAGAGAGATGCCTGTGAGCCAAGCCCAGGCAGAGTGAGGGCTGGGCACTGGGGCCAGGACAGCAGGAAGAAAAGGGAGGTTTTGTCAGTGTCACACAGAGTATGGTTTGATCCCACTGACCACAGCAGATAAAGGACAAAAGGCAGCTGATGCCAAGGAGTAGGCTTTAACTGCCTGGGGAGCCTTCCCATTACAGCTGAGTAACACTCCAAAAATGCAAGAGGCAGTTACAGGGGCTGTTTATATTTTAATTATAAATTTGGTATGAATGACCAATGGAAAAATCACAATGGAGTACCAAGAACATTTTATCAAAATTTTAGCAGCATTTAAACAGTAATAGATTCCCAACCTCCTCTGGGCACCCCTTGCCCTTTGCCTCCCACCCACAGATCAGTAACCTTCACTCAAATGTGCTTTCCAAAGGCATGCAGGGGATTGGAGCTGGCCATTATCCCCTGAGCCATTCTGAAAAAAAAATCTCATCCCAAATGCTGGTTACCATTCAACCTCCATCCACACAGGGCCAGGCTCCCATCCCCTCCTTGCTGTAGGCAGCACAGCAGGCTGGCTGGCTGTGGTTGGGATGGAACTTGCTGGGGGGGGGGAAGTCGAGGGGGAAGGCAGCACCTGCTCACATCCTCCCCTGCATGGATCAGCACTCCCATGGGTGCCCATTACCTCCAAGCACAAATCCAGGGCTGAGCCCTTTCCTGCCTGCTGCTGCCCTTCGCTTCTGTACGCGGGGGTGCCGTGCGCTCCACGGCCCCACTCCTGTACCTGAGTGTGTGCTTGTGTCTGGATGGAGAGGAGGGGAGGCTGACAGTCTGTCCTCTCCCAGGAATGGAGAGCAGGGCAACCGGGAGCTGAGATTGAAGGGGAAAGGTAAAAGGTGAGCAGTGACATACTCAAGTATCAACCGACAAAATGAAGTTAGTTTACTATCAGCTAATGTGAAGAGCCATGGGCTGCCTACTGAGTCACAAGAACTAATTTTTGTGTGCGCTTTTTTTTTAAAGTTACATTAAGACATGAAAAGTACTATCCCAGCCTCAGTGGCTGGAGCTTGGTGAAAACAACATTGAATCAGAGGTGGGGAAACACAACACACGTGGAGACAACAACATAATATCAGCAAGCTATTCCCCTGCTTCTTTGGTACTTCCTAAACTTTCTTATCCAAAATATATAAGGGAAATGCACCGTTTAAAAGTTACTGTTCATAAGTATTTACACAGCCATAACCATCACGCTATGATACACGAAAATCAATATGATATGAACAAAGTTATTTTATGAAAAGCACTTCTGCACATTTTATTTTGTTCCAGTATCTTAATAGCTTTAAAAAATTCATGTATTATGCAGTCCTGTACCTCGCTTCTTCTTATATCAAATGTACAAGAAACATTTCCTAATCCATACTCTTCTTCAAAAGATTAAAAAATAGCCACCAGAATGATACACTATGTACAAATTTTACTAAATATTAAGTTCTAGGCAATTATTTTCACCCCACTGATGATATAACTTAGGTATTGTTACCTACTATATGCATATATATTTCTTTAATATATAAGAAATGGCACCACATCACCATGTCACCAATATGACACATTGTTATGTACAGTAGATAAGAAGTTAGGTATGGAAGATGGATCCTCTCTGACTGCTTCTTTCACGGGAACGCTTCTCCCATCGGTAGTAGCTTGGCCATTTCCACTTTTCCTGGTAGAGGAAGCTCCTCAAATGTAAGGCAGGATCCCGTACATCAGCAGTGCCATCACCCCAGCGCTGAACAAGCCAGCCACTGGCACAGTCACAAACCACGCCAGGAAGATGTTGCGGAAAAGGCGCCAGTCAACAGCTTTCTTGGAGCGGATCCAGCCAACAGCCACCACGGAGCCAACCTTGGGAGCATGGGGAAGAGAGAGGGAGACAAGTTGTGAGGGGTAGGTCTGAGCACCTGTAACATTCCCACGGCCACACCAATGCCAGTCAGCTGATACCATGCGGTGCTCTGAGATACAGAAGCCCCTAAGGATAACAATGGTGTTCTTCTGTGGTGGCAGGAGGTGATACTTCCAGGGTACTTAAGCCTTTGTTTTTCAATTTTCTTCTATTTTTCATGGGTCTTGGGGTCAGCCAAAGCCAATAAAATACGTTGGTGAGTTTTTCTCTGCCCTGCTAACTCCTTCATGAGCCTTCAAGTGCAACAGAGGCAGCCTTCCACCTGACTCAGTCCACAGGGCAACTGTCCACTGACTCTGGCCTGATTGCAGTTTAAATCAGGAAAACACCAGGAAAGTTGTTTTTAAGGCTCTGGTGGAGAGCATTGCATGGGGCAGGCCAGGATAGCTAGTATGGTTCCTGTCCCATCTGCCTGTCCTCTTGCTGGTTTGGGATGTCCTGCCTGTTCACCCAGCAGCTACTGAGCCTCTCTGTGCAGCTCAGAGCCCGACTTACAGCGCTGACTCAAAACACCACATCCATATTCAATACTGCAGGCTATAAAGAGGATTGCAGTGGCAAGGTAAAAGCAGCTGAGCTCACCCTGTGGCAGTGATGGTGGCTTTGCAGGGGGAAGACAGACAGTGCAGGCTTAGACCCAGTACATCAAACCCATCAATCTGAGCCCTGTGAGGGAAACCAACCCTTCTGGACCAGCTAGTCAAGCAAAGCATCCAGAGCTAAAATCCTGTCTTAAGACAAAGATATCATATTAATACTATGGGGCACACAAACTGTTCAGACACCAAGAGAATGGTGGGGAATGGATAAAACACCAAGATATCCTTCAAAGATACTGCTACCAGGGCAGCTGGGTAGGTCAGTGGTTTTGTAGACAAAACACACTGTGTTATGGGCAGAGCTGCAACCTTTTCTTCCTTCAAAGGTATTTTCAGTTCATAGGCTCAGGTATAAACCCAGCATATCAGTTTTTAAGAAAAAAATCTGGACTGAGAAAACATTTTCAACGAAAAATGATAAAAAAACTTCAGAAACACTACATTTTCTTTCTGCCCTGGAAGTGCTTTCCATGCTGTTAGCAAAAACAGTGTAAGTCTATTCAAAGTGCACAGTAAAGCAGCAAGAAATGTAGAAGAAATATCCTGTTTTGAAGGTAAGGAAACTCCAAGACACAGCTGGGCATGTGATCCCTGAAGTGCCATCCCTGCCTCTCTGCTTATTTTCTTAATGGGAGTATCAGTCCCTGCATATAGATCAAAAGATGGGCTGCTCCCCTTGTACAGAGCCAGGAAAATGACACATGCCAGGAGTATAGGGAATCAGGGGAAGATAACATGGGGATATCAAATCTGCATATTTTGCTAACACCTGTTTGGCTTCTAACTACTGCTTAACATTTCTTTATGGAGAAGAGTTACTTGTGGAAGACTCTGTAACTCTAGGGTGCCTGTGACAGAACAGGGGAAAACTAAACTTGATATTCTATGACCAATAAGGCCTCTGTCAAAAGTTTGACCCAATAAGGAGATCTTTATTAGGTATTAGAAATGAGATAATATTTCATCTGAATACTCCTGGAGTGTATAGTATGCTGTAATTAGGAGGTGTAAGTGTATTTAGGAGGTGGAGGTGTATCTACGTGAAGGGAAGCCCCACACTTGTGACTACATTAAAGCATTAATCCGAGGAAACAGCATTTGGGTTTTCAGCAGGTCAGCTGTCAGGCTCAGCTTTACATTTTGTGTGTCCTTAGCATCCATCTGCAAGAAGCATACTTATTGAGCAAGCCTGCAGTCTACATACGCTAATCTCCAAGTCCTTCCTGAAATTTGAACGGTATCAGCAATGATGGCATTGGCAATCTGTTTTACACATTATTAAAGTTTAGTTTATTAATAGTGATTTTTGATAGACTAGAGGTTAGGAGAGTAGCTAATCCTTGGGTGTAGGCACACTACACCTTCTGTAGAATTTCAGATGATATCTACTTTGAGATTGGTTGGAAACCAGTGCAGTTTGCCTTCAGTATGCTCTGCTTAAAACATTACAGAAATGCTTTTGGCTCTCTTGTTCCTGTGCAATGGTGTATAATAAAAAACACACAGAACATGATAATTCAATCATAGCAACAGAGAATATTTTTCAAAACCACAAAATCATAATGGCAAAATGGAGCTGACAAAATGACCTCAGCAAAGTCACTTTTGCAGAGGAAAAGCATTTAACTGATGCACTCTAATTTTATCTGAACCTAAACACACTCTTGTTACAGCTAAGAAGTGCTTATTTCTGAATCTCCAATCTGAGAACAAATAACAGACACTCTAAGACTCAATATGATCATTTTCCCACCGGGGCAGCAGAACGGGAAGGTATGCATTCACACCACACTGGCTTTTCAGAGCTAAATCCCACGGGGGTTGAACTGGTGCAGCCAGACCAATGTGGCTACTGCATTCAGACCCAAAAATTCCTTTGGAGGCTCAAAAGATTAGGTCTTTCCTCAAAGCCCTCTTGAGCTGGAGGGCTTTCAAGGGTTTTTCCCCTCCCCTTGGACCTGTGGCAAAGACGAAGGTGCAGTTCAGGCTCTCAGCAGGCACTGAGAGTGAAAAAGCTGCTTGGCCATAGATGTGGGACAGGCACATCAGGCAGTGACTACCTCACGTAGACCAAAGGCTCTAATTTAGGACCAAAGGCAGGTCCTGATCTGAGAGGGCTTTACGAACCTTCCCCAGAAGCTAAATGCTTGTATTCCTGCTACCAACCTCCAGTTTGCCACTACATCTGCCACAAGATCTGAAAACTGCTGCTCAGAGCTTTCCTTCATACTTGGTCTCCATTTTTCATTACAGTCTACTGTTTCACCTCTAAAAGGTTTCCCTCCACCTCAGCTGTTTCCTGCTGCTCCTTATTTGCCATTAGTTTATCCAGCTGCTGCACATTCAGTTGACTGACACCCCTTCAGTAGGGCTTCCACTCAAGCAAATGCTATTTCACAGTGGAGCAAATATTGAGGGAAAGAATAATTCCCAATCCCTGATGCTGGAGGCTCAAGATTCAGTTCACCTCAAACCTGTTTTCTTTTGGATCTCTAAGGCAAAATAGTTTTTCTGCTGATTTTTAACTCAGTGGCTTTCAGCCACTTTTAACACTTTCAGCGAGGCATTTTCACATGGAGCAAATGATACTTAGCAATTCTTTTATTCCTTCCTGGGCCCTCGAAGAAAACAAAGAATACAAGGATACATTTGTTACAAGTGCTTGCTCACTTAGGATCTTTCAACTCAGGATCTCATTTTGCTGAAACACAGAGTCAGTTAAAATAACATGACATCCCTGGAACAGTCTAATCCTATTGCAAAGTGGATCTTCCCATTAAGAATGATCCATCTAATGAGATACAGCAAACTACAGGGAGCAGACACAGACTAACCACATTAGCTGCTTTTATGGAAGTATTTTTAAAGAGAACTATTTTGCTCTGCAGTTAGAAAAGACCAAGCTTTTAGCTGCATTGAGTGAATGAATACCCCTCTCATTAGCTTATGGCTTCCAAGACATTTTCTTTTTAAATTCAGTCTAGTTGTTTGGACCAAAGTATGTTTTCTCTTTTACAATAGCTGACTAGAAGTGTTTCAGGGATAGAACTGGGATAATCAAAGCTGTATTATTCTCCCTGGCAAATTCTTCATCATGCATTTTATATACCAGTCAGCTTAAAGGGAGGTGGTTTCAGGCTAGCCTTTTTAGAAGTGGATAACATGGTTATTATTTTTCTCCTCCCTGCTTGATTCAGAGGAACCAGAGTTCTGTCAATGCCAGGAAATCTGAACAGCCTTTCAGAGCAGCTCAGTCTTGGCTGCTTCTCAAAGAGCACCAGGGTAGAAGAAATAAATGATTTTGCAATAGAAGAAGGCTTTCTGAAGAAATGGTTTTTACTAGAAAAAGGCCAGTTGAACCAACTTTGGGCATTTTGCAGGATGTGTGGATTTCATTGACTCTTTTACTGGAAAGCAGGTCAATGTCACAGGCAAAGCTGACAGGCTTCTTGCCAGCCTGCCTGCCATGCCATGGAGCAGTTATCCCCAGAAACCCACCTGCCCCAGCCCCAGCCCGAGGCTCCTAGCTCTCCAGGGTGCAGTAGTGAATCTGACAAGGACTGTGTATTTTTAGGGCTTCGTCTTGGAGGCATGAAATGACGCAGAGGGACTGCCATTCTGGGGTCTCTGATTTTGGAGGTGCTTCCCCACATCCTGCCAGAGGGTGTAAGAAACAAATAGCTCTGCACGTCCAGGAGCTTGAAAGTCCATGGAGAAACAAAGGACAAAAGAAGGGATATTTGACCTGAGAATTTCCCACGGAACAAAATTCCAAATTCCCATTGTGTTCTTCCAGTAGTGTAAATGTTTCCTCATGTCTACAAGCTGTATAAATCTTCATGACACAACTAAATTGTGCTCATTACCCAGCCTGTATCTATACTACAAAGTGGTCTTTTTAAAAAAATAAAGTACCTTGTTCAAAGGACTAATTACAAGGGCCGTATTCTGTACTACAATGCACAAAAGTGAGGACAAGTTGGTTTAAAAGAAGAGAGACATTAAAATATTAGCTTAGCAGTATTTTTCATACAGGTGGTTTTAAAATATATGTAACTGGGTTCACACAGACTACGAATCTACGTTATTTTAATATGTCTATATTAGTTGAATAAAACCATGTAGGGATGAAAGACAGTCCAGACTTTTGTGCAATTAGTCATAATACTGACTTTGCTTGGCTGTACTGCCTTTTAAAGTGGGCCCCATTATTTTGTGGTCACAGTCTACAGGGCATGGCACATTGAAGGCAATCTGCAACAGTCGGTATCTCCCAGATTTTGTTATGGTTTGTCCTAGTGATGTGATTTACTGATAGTATCACTGCAAACTCCAATACCTTGCAATGGGTGGAGCTTATTGGAATACCCACATTTGAGGCTACAAGTACCGTTAGCGCACACATTACTTCAATGCAAAATCCACTGTGAAGAAATAAAAAAAAAAAAAAAACAGATGGAAAACCTGTAGTAAAAGAGTTATATGCAGGAAATCCCATGCCATGCACTTATCAAGAAAGTCATAAATGATGAATGGTGCGCAGCCTCTGAACAAGGGAGAAATGTTACCCAACCAGGTTCAAATGGCACTGTCAGAAGAAACCAGGCCCTTCCTTACAATCATTTGCTTTAAAATTGAGGTCATGCTTTTGTAAGTGCTGTTTTTCTCCACCAGCACCTATGAAGTGGCTGTGGCCAATTCCCGTGACTTTACTGTGACAACTCCAATGCATTTTTTGGAAGCCTGATTACTTTCCTACTTTGCTGGCATGACCGAGATGTGCTGATGTACCCCTACCTAACCATCCTCTGTCAGCAGCTGTTTTCCCCTCACCGTGCCATTATCCCTGGCTCGAGCAGCACAGTTTTAAGATGAATAGTCCAGACTGCCTTGACTGCAGTCGCTAGGCAAAGGCATACCTTGCAGTGTGTAGTACTGACAGGAAGTCCAACATTGGAAGCTACCACAACTGTGAACGCCGAAGCCAACTCAATAGTGAATCCACTGCAGGAAGCATAAGAAAACACTTCACAATCACTCTTTGCATCAGCTCGGACTGATACCATGCAGTGTGCCAAAGTCTTACCAGTTTCTTCTTTCGACTGTTTTATCTCCAACTGATTTTTGCCATGAGAGTAAGTTAAGAGAACAAGAAAGGGCTGAATAATGGAAACAGCACAGGCTAGTTATCTGCAGTACCCTGTCTGCATGGCTCATTGCGTCAGAGACCTTCACTACTCTATGCTGCGGTGAATCATGCCTAATTAATAATTTGGTTAAGCACCAGCAGACGTCGAGTATGCATTAAAGATGAAAATTACTGTAATAAATATATATGGGTTTAATAGTCTGAAGCACAATGGGAAAACCACTGTAATCTTGCCTTTTCCAAATGCATCTTATACCATGCTAATTAGGTCATCAGGAACTCTGCTGTCTGTTCATGCAGACCTCTATGCCTTAAAAACATTCAGTATTACAGGGTTATCTTTCTTTTCTTTCTTTCTTTCTTTCTTTCTTTCTTTCTTTCTTTCTTTCTTT